AAAGATATTTTTATCAAGGGGAAACACAATAATATATACGTACACACGCACAAAAAGCTTTAAGCTTTTTAATCGAGCAATATTTACTTGATTCAAGCACATACTTTTGCGGCTGTGTTGTGTCGTAATAATGGCCGACACAGCCCTTTCCACCTATCTTTATTTTTTTCTAGCCGGGCTGTACCATATTTGCAGTAGAGTGACACGACGGCGTGGGTGGGTTGGCAATGCCAATCGCCACACAGCCGGGGGGCACCTCGTGTGAGTAGGCAACCCATCGCACACACACGGCCACGCGGGGCGGGCGGCTAGGCGCACCCTGTACAGCAAAACCTTTACGAAGTCCGACAGGATTTGTCGGCCACTTTTTGGAGATGCAGACCTGCATGCCCCACGACTGCTGCACTCTCGCTTATTTTTTTGCCGGGCGCGGGCAGTTTCGAGCATATAATAATTATTGTTGTAAAACTGGTTCGCTTTAACAAAAAGTTGGCGCGGCCTCGTCCTATATAATCCCGCTGTCGTAATAATGTCTCGTTTACTCTTGCCCTTGAACCTGACTGCCATGCTCGCCGTTGCGTAGAGCGCAGCTGGGTATGTTGTTTTCACGCGTCATACTGGGAGAGCGACACTTTTTGGGTCACAGCGACTAAGTCCTGGATCATCTATCACTAAAGTAACCCCCAAAAGTTATCGCCATCTTTTTATGTGTTGTTCCCAGCACTTCTAAACGCACGAAAAGGTATATGTTGTGGGAACAAAACGAAATCTTCACACTTAAATTGGCTCGTCCTCTGGAGCGTCGGCTGCTCTCTTTAGCTCAATCGGTAGCGTGCCCGCCAAGAGCATGGGAGGTCGGCGGTTAAAATCCTCGTGGATCTGAACATTTCCTTAGGCTACAAAATTTCAAATGGACTTCAGTTTAACAGTTTAACCAACGTACGCGTCAACCGTCTCACATACCCCGCGGGAGTATGTTCTGACAACTGTGGAAGAAGCGGCTGTTCCCGCGATCACAGAGGTCGACTTCGGTAGGATGAGGAAAGTACTCCCCCATTTTTTTGTTTTTATTTTTTTCCGGGTGGGGGGAGAGGGGTATGAGCATTTACGACGCCGAACCGACTTAGCGCCTGATAGGTATACAACATCCTGCCTTCCATGCACCCGTGTACTGCGGGGTGGCCTACCCTGCGTCTCGCAGGCTTCGAGCTCTCGTAGACCACCAAATGCACCGCACTATGAGACTCAACTTTCAAGAGGGTCTCCCGTTTTGAAAATGCGCGTTTACTCTTGCCTACATGTTGGCCCGCTGTTGGCCACACCCTCCGCACGAATCCCTATGCTTTGTTCCTGTTGTAGGGCAATGCCCACTTTCTGCTCTCACCGCCCTAAATATTTTTTTTTTCAAATTATATTTTGAAAAGTGAGTAATTTGGCGCTGTATGTTTGCGTGATATCAGTTCAGACGCTGGACGGGTGAGCACACTCACGCGAACGCCTGCCCGACGAGCATGCCATGCAGCCTCCCCTCCCCCCTCTTTCCCAACTCCCTAATTTTATTTTCATTATTGTCGCGTCTCCCCAAAAAACAAAAGGTGTGCGTGATGTTGTCTGGCAGTGTACTGTGTACAGTGTACTCTGTTATACTGACCAGCGTGATGCCCTCGACGAGCCCGTCGAAGGACTCCTTGACGAAGCCCATGGTGGTGATGTCGAAGAGGAGGTGCATGAGGAAGCCTCCGGGGGCCGAGTGCGTGTGGGTCCCGGACAGCATGAGGGTGTTGTCGGTGTAGCCGCCGAGGGGCGCCAGGCGCTTCAGTACCTGGAGGCCGACAACGACAGAGCGTCGACTCAAGTCCGTAAACTTCGTCAGAAGTCCATACGAACGTCAGCAGAAGTCAAAGAACTTCGGCAGAAGCCCGTACGAACTTCGACAGAAGCCCATACAAACTTCGACTGAAGTCCTCAAACTTCGGCTGAAGTCGTCGAACTTCGGCTGAAGTCCTCAAACTTCGGCTGAAGTCGTCGAACTTCGGCTGAAGTCCTCGAACTTCGGCTGAAGTCCTCAAACTTCGGCTTAAGTCCTCGAAGTTTAGCTGAAGTCGTCGAACTTCGGCTGAAGTCCTCGAACTTCGGCTGAAGTCCTCGAACTTCGGCTGAAGTCCTCGAACTTCATAAAGTTCGACGATCCTCCGTGTATGCGGGCAGCCCGAGGCAGCCACTACTTGAGAGTCGGAGCGATCATCACCTCCTTGCGCACGCCCGAGCCGATCATGCCGACGTCGACGCAGACGAAGGCGAGCCGCTCGCCGGCGGCGTCCTGGAAGATGAAGGCCCGGGAGAACTGGCGGGTGTGGATGCCCTGGCCCTTCTGGGAGGGGCTGGCGTAGCCCATCTGAAGAGGAAACGACACCAACCCTGAAGACATTTTTCTTGTTTTGTTTTCTCTCTTTATTTTTGTCGCCAAGACGATAACGATACTCACGAAAGGGACCTCGGCGGCCGGCCCCGTCACATCGGCGATGCCGGTGCCGAGCAGGTAGACGGCGAGCCCCCCGGGGACCAGCGATATCAGCGCGAGCGCGTGCACGACGAGGAGGCACGCCGCCGAGGAGGCGCCGCGGCGGCCCGCAGACATCGGGGGTGCATCTGGTGGCATCTGGTGGGAGGAACACAAAGAGGTGAGGGATTGGTAGGTGCAGCCGGGCGCCACACAGAGGATAACACGGGCACCATGCTGTTGTTTCGGATGGAGTGAGAGACAGAGACAAAGAGGGACAGAGATAGAGAGACAGAGAGACACAAAGAGACACAGAGAGACACAGAGTGAAAGAGAGAGACACAGAGAGACAGAGAAAGCCGAGTCGCGCGGGACGGCACAAAGGACTCCGCGCGCGACATGGAGGAGTCCACGTGGAGCCACCTGAACTTTCTAAAAGACAGACGCGCGAGGTGCGAAACGCCTGGTCTTCTTGGGGTCAGCAGCAACAAAGACACACACGTGGTGGCCCGCGGACCCCCCCCCCCCCCGGGGATATTGCGCACGCCAGGTGGCAGATTTGCCACACAGGGTGGTCCATAAGACCCCCTCCTTTATTTTGCTTATACTGTACCGCATGCAGAGGTGCGGGTGGGCTTGCCTACCTTCATGGCCCCGCGCGAGTATGCAACCGGCCCGCTCCCTTGAATGCGGTACAGTAAAGCCAAAATAAAGGAAGGGGTCTGTGGACCGCCCTGTAGAACCCAGCACCGAGCGAGCAACACGACCCACACATTCTTCGAAAGGTGAGAGGGTTGGGGGGAGGGGGAGGGCATTTAACTCGCGTAGCTCGCTTTTTGCGCGGCTCGAATCCGCCCACGTGTGCGGTCGAATTTATACTGTACCGCACGCCCGCACGCCCCAGTCAAAATGACATCAATTAAGGTCAAAGTCAAGGTTTTGAGCATTTGGCGCCCAACTTTCATGTCGTTTTGATGTCAAGACGACATAAAAATGGCCACCAAATGACCAATTAAAACTTGACTTGACTGCCGTTGATGTCATTTTGACAAAATCATTTTAACTGGGACACTGACGGGCGGGCGGGTTTGCCGATCAGGTTTGCCTTTCGTGTCTAACTGTCTATGTGGCGCCTGAGACCCGAGGGAATGGGCAACCCAATCGCGCACGCCTGCAGGCGGTACAGTACAGACACGGTCAGTGGACCACCGGAAACCAACCCACGTACCTTGACGCATCTTTGTGTATTGTGCAGAGTCAGGCGTTGGGCCAAGTCAGACACAGCCAACCGTGAATGTTTTAAGAATAAATAAAAATACGGGGGTAGGGTACTGCATGCACGGATTCACTTACTTTGCGGAAGTGGACCGCTCCTCAGCTCGCCCCGTGGACTGCGGAGAGCGCTGGCGGCGTGGTGGAGTCCATGTGGGCGCTGGGCGCGCGGGCGGGCGGGGACGACGGCGCGGTGCTGTGGGCGCGGGAGCGCGCCGGGTACCCAACTGGCTGCGCCCACACGTCCGCGACACCGGCGGACCGGGCAGTGACAGCACCGGAGCCGGCCGGGGAGGGGGGCTGACCTTGCCTTGCCGTGTCCCTGCGTCCCTACCGGTCCCTACGCCTCAATCTCCCTCTGTCTCTCTCGCTCCGAGTACAATGCTCACACTGCAGCCCATATACCCTTCTCCAGCCCGCATGGATGTCCGCCCGATGATGCGGGGTTGAAGACCCCTTCTCACTACGGTGACGATGCAACTCTGCGGCCTTGTTCTGGCTGCGACCAGGAGAGGTGGGTGTGACGTGACGGGCGGGCCACTAATCCCCCCGCGATGGTCCGGAAACCGAGAGTGCAAGTGAGACGGAGCTGTGCACTGATAAACTCAAAGTGTGCAACTGCTTAACACTTGTTAGTGTAGGCCTCACTCGCACTCTCTGTTCAATAATGGTCCATCCCTTGTGGACTGGTGGACCGCCGCCCGTTGTTCACCTCTGGCAACGACCGGCCACAACCGTAGTGATTGGAAACACAATAGAAAACAGGACAACACTTTATTGAACAAACAAATAATTTACAAGATAAAAACGGCTGGTTGTGAAGTAAGTAACATCAGTCGAAGAAATAGAAGTACCGCGTCGGCCTAGGGAACATGATGTCGAGGGGCTCGCGACTGAAGACGTCCTCCCAGTGCGGTCGCATAATGTTGCTGAAGTGCCTGTCGCTGAGGGGGGCGATCTCGCCGTAGATCGTCTCCCACCGGCTGTTGATCAGCGAGTTGGCACCCTTGCCTAACGGGAAGGGGTGTATCCAGGTTAGAAAAAAAAAACGAGAGAGAGAGAGAGAGGGGGGGGGGACACCGAGACGTACAGACTGACAGACAGACAGAGGGGGAGCACTCACCGAGCAGCCAATTGCCGTTGAAGAGGTTCTGGAAGTCCAGGCTCATCTGACGGGGCTCCAGCGTGGACGCGTAGTCCACGATGTGCATGTAGGCCTGGCCGTCGGGGCCCACCCTGCGCTCGCCCTTGATGCGGTACCTCTCGAAGACCGTCCCTGCGTATGAAAGGGGACACACGTGAGACATCGGTCACAAACTTGGGGGTCTCTTTTCCACTTTCGAGCTTTGATGAATTTGCTAGGATTTAACTAGAACTTCTACTTAAGTTCACAAAACTATCTGGTGCCGTCTGACGTCCACGAATTTCGCCTGGAATTCGCCCCCTGAAGTTCACGAACTTTGACCGAGGCTCACTAACTTCGACCCGAGGCTCACGGACCTCGTCCGAAGCTCACACGAACTTCGACCGAACAGCTCACGAACTTCAACCGAATAGCTCAGAAATTTCGACCGAACCTCGCGAACCTCGACCGAAGCTCAAGAACTTCGACCGAAGCTCAAGAACCTCGATCAAAGGTCACAAACTCCGACCGAAGTTCACAAAGTCGGACTGACTACTGACTGAAGGTGAGTGCGCAGACTGACGCAGACCGGCAGCCCCTGGAGGGCGAGCAGCCCAACGTACGCCAGCCGCACCGCGCCCGGCCCGTAGGCAGCCCAACTCACGCCCCCCACGCAGGTACGCCCCACTACGTGCCGCTAGTACGTGCCTCGCCACACACACACGGCGGCAGGCCAGACGGAGGTGCAGGTAATCGTGCGGAAAAGAGGCCGACCGTCTGGCCGCGATAGAGAGAGAGGAGAGAGAGAAAGAGAGTGAGTCAGTGGGGCTGACCCTCCCGAGCGGTGCGCTGGCGGACACACTCACCCATGTGCATCTGGAAGGGCCCGGAGCCCCACACCGGCAGCCACAGGATCTTGCCGTCCGTCTTGTAGGTCCCGCGGAAGTTGACCTGCGGCCTGGAGAACCGGATGTCCATCTCGAGGTTGTCGACGTCGAACCTGCGGAGCAGTGGCAGTTGGCGTTCGGGAGGCGTGAGCGTGTGGAGGCCGTTTCCCCAAAATTGTTCACACTTTTCACACGAAGAGGTCTAACTTTTGACTCGCGGGTCAGAGCGGCGTCCCTGTCTGAATGCCGAGCATTTCTTTCATTTCCATCTGTCTACCCACCCCCACCCCCTCCCCCAACGCGGCGGGTCCTAAGTGAAGTTATGACAGGATAATTTTCCATACGGCTGCTACTCTAAACTGCCGTTCGACTAGGAATAATCGCGGTTAACATACGTTTACGAATGCGTTTATAACTTTGCGAGTTGGAAAATATGCAAAACAAAGATTATTTTTTACGTTTATTTTAACAGTGCAGGACCCCCAGTAGTGGTGGGATGCTGAAGGTTGCTGCTGCTGCTACAACAGCAGCGATGTTCCCGCGCCCTGTCCAAACTCCTCCTCCCGCGCTCTTCCCGCGAGTGTTTGTAAAAATACCATCTGCACACAAAGCCCTTTTTTTGCGCATCTTTGTGCTTGACGACGGGCTCCGCGAAACCTAAAGCGGCGGCAAAGCTTGATCCCTCCCGGCCTATTTTTTTCCCTTTCTGTCTTTTGTTTTTGTTTTCGTTAGACTGCCACTTACTTGAGCGAGTGCATGACGACGTTGTGGGTGATGTCGCTGATGCGCATGTTGTAGAAGGTGAGGTTCATGTTGAGCGCGGCGCCGTCGTGCCTGCTCACGGGCATCACCGGCACCAGCAGCGGGTCCAGCTTGGGGATCCCGGCGGCGGCGTCGCCTGCGGCCACGATAAAGGGGTTGTCGTCACCGCGAGAGTTACTACACTAAAAAATCAAGCGTACACCAATATTTCTTTTTTTCGATATTTTCTCTATTTTTTTCCGATTATGATTTTCTTCTTCTGATTTTTCCGATTTTTAAAAATATTTTTTGGTGAGTTTTTGTGAGTTTGTGCCGGCCGGCTACCCAATGCGACACCCAACCCAACGCACACACACACACACGGCCACATGTCATATATACCATACCGTAACCCATGGCTCGCACGACGCGTAGCAGAGACCGCGAGAAGCACGCGTTGAACGTCGGTCCCCGCGGGCACCGGAAGAGCGGGGCTTCAGCGACGGGCAGAAAAGAACACACACATACACACGTTGCAACGACTGCTTGTAGTGCACTAAAGACACATACTTAAGACCGGAGCACACCAGCCTGGTACTTTGTCGTCGTCGTCGTCCTCACCTGCTCCGGAGGCCGCCCCGGCGCACACCAGCAGCAGCGCCAGCGTCGTCCTCAGCGGCAGTCCCATGTCGCCCGTATAGTCGGTTCACGCGGCTCTGTCCAGGCGGCACCGCGGTGGCCAGTGTGGTGCGCCCCCGAGACCCGCGGGGGGCATATATGCCGAGCTGTCGCGGCTGTCGCCACTCTCGCGCGGCGGCTGTCCTACGTGTATTATCTCAGTGCACCGCAAGTGTTTTTCCAGACATGCGCAGCCCACCCCCGCCCCCCTCTCCTCCTTTCTCCGAACCCCTCATGGCGCCGACCCAGAAATAGGGGGTGATCCAGTTGAATAATACGCGGTGTCCCACTCAAGACTTTGGACTTTCCCGCGCCGCCGCGTTAGTTTGAATCGTTTGCGGGTATGTATCATTGCGGGTGGCGGCAGTTTGCGGCTGACGTTCGTTTCGCTCATATACCTTAGCTCTCCGACGAGCGCGGTTCCGAGCGTGTGGCCTGTGAGAGGGGCATAGATACGATAAGAGAAGTTTGGAGATACACGACGAGGAAAATTGGTTGTCAAGGTTTGATGGTAGAGCGCCTGTTAGTTAGGCAGGCACTTGTCCGCAGCACATTCTTCTTGAGCGGGTGGCCTACCCTGAAGCTCGCAGGGGCTCGGCGGCCGATCACACCAAAGTGTCACAATCAACTTGCCGGGGGCGGAGAGGCGGCTGCGGTCGCTGGGCCTCCCGCCCGCGCCGCCC